AAAAAAAGTAACATTTTAGTAACAATATAACAAAAATTAGTGTTATTTATTATAAATGAAAAATATGTGAATATTCATTATAAAAACGTAAAGAGAATGAATTCCTATTTAAAAACTAGAGGAGATGTGAATGTTATTTTACTTAAAATATAAAATAGATATATGTCTATTTTATTAATTTATTTTTTTAAATCTCAATTTTTTCTAAAACAAAAATTAATATATAATAATCAAAATTTTGATCATTAAGTGATAAAATCAGTCATTAACCAAAACAATAACTATTTAACGATTAACCAAAGCTACACATTATAGTAAATTGGTTAACACATGAAATAAAACGTGTATATATATTGAAAATGAATTGAAATAAAATAAAGCAGCAATTTAATTAAGCATTAATCTATCTCGGGAAGTGCTTAGTTGTGTTCAGATTAATTGATGAGAAAAAAAATGGTATAATTGTCATAAACTTTTCACCAACTTGATCTTGTGTTTTTTATTTTCCACTAATTGATTACAGAGAAAGAGGTGTAATTTATTGCGACTCCATGGAGTGGTTTAATTGATTACAGATAATTGAAATAATATATTATGATAATAATATCAATTCATAATAAAATATAGTTATATTTGGAAAATTGAAGAGGATATATTTTAAGTTAAATCAATCGATTTATTATTTAATATCTAAATTATATTTAAAAAATATAGATAAGATTTTTTTCTTAATTTCTTTGATCAACGTGAGATTTTTTTTTAATATTACTTTTGACTTTAAAAAGATTTTGATATTATATTAAATTTTAACTTAAAATAAATTGATATTAAAAATTAAGATAAAAATATGTGAAATTATTTTTAAATTACATTAATATATACATATTATTCTTTTAGAAAACGAGTATAAAAAAAACTTTGTTGGATTAGGATTATTACTTATATTTTGATATTCAAATGTTGTAATTGATAGACGAACATGTTTTTTTATGGGAACATAAAAGTATGTATATGTTTCTTCGTTAACAAGCTTTGGAATAAATCAAAAGTTTCCACTCGTGGTTTGACTAATTGCAATGACCACCAAAGATCTTCAAAATCTAGCTTAATTTTCTTTGATCATGGAGCACTTTGTAAGAAGCACTTTCACATGGGATTTGCATATTATCAGGATTGGCTTAGAATTTCAATTATATTCCCCACTTCACTATGTCAATGCTGCCCTTTCTCTTAATCTTATTTTCCTCATGCAATTAAGGTAATAAATACGACTGTTTATTTTTTTTTTCATACACCAATCACAAATCAACCTAAGCAAAATCACAATATTTCAACTGGGTGAACATATTATATAAGATAAGAAATGACATAAGATAAGATATGAAATATGAAAATTAATATTAATTTATTTAATCAATACTTGGATAACTTATTTTGAACACTAGTCTACCAAATCAATTTCACCAAATAAATAAAAGAAAAAAAAAAAACACCAATAAACTCCACCTGAAAGTAGCTTCCCTGGTTTGAGTGCATGTGGGGTCTTATGGTCTTCCAGCAATTTAGAGTGAAATACTTAGATTGAAATCTTCAACATACAACTTTTCTTCTTCGCAAATCATATCCAACATTTACCAACCTAGTATGACCATTAGTCTCTATGAAAAATATTACTCATACTTTACGATAAATTACATTGACAAACCCTAATCCTAAGTCAAACTAAGCCTGCAATACCTGTTCTCTCTTTTTATCTTTTACACTTCTTTAATTTTATCAACGCACCAGACATTTCTTCATGGCAGGGTAATCATATAGTGAGGTGGAACTAACTCAATGTACACCACTTTTTTCAATCCACAAAGTTCAATATATGAAACCTTGTACAAAAGAAACCAGAATATATATATATATATATATATATATATATATATATATATAGTACTTGAATAATGTCTGTGTTAATATTGCTATAATAATTTAAAAGAATGGATGCAAGTGCTGCTAAAATTGATGTTGTTCCATGCACAAGGTAATAAAATAGAGTAAATGAATAAAAATTATGACAGTTAATGATTGTTTATAATAAAAAAGAGGTTTGTGAAAAATGACAGAAACAGAACAAATCATTGGATGACATATAATAATGGCAGTTGAACTTTCTATTAAGGTGATTAGGTCATGTCTTAAAAATTTTCATATATTTTTCATTTGTCCTTAGAGTTCCCAATGGAGATGTGAAACGAATGGGTCCATGGTCGGTTGCATATTATAATCATAAGCTTTGCTTTTGCATGCGATGTGCTTTGTCTCTTCATTTATGTGTCCACCTGCAGACCTCAACTATGAGCATTAATATTTGAGAGCCAACACATGCCTTGCATCAGTTATCATCTCTCGTGTCATTGGTGCTGGTTTTAATCATACAAAATCATGTCCTTGTCTTTTACCCTTTCTAAAATTCACTTGCCTTTTTTTTTTACATTTTTAGGGTTTAGTTGTAACTTGATAATAGTTTAAGTGATGAAACAAGCTACTTAAGTAATTTCATGTTCAAGATAAACTAAATGGAGTTGTATTAAGTGTTGAACCTTCGTATCGTGTTAGAATATCATGCATGCATTGTTGAGGAAGATGAGGACGTACACGTAATGCTTAGTATGAACAAAAAATGCTACCAACATTTGCAGAGACAATGTAAAAAACACTTCATGATTCATTTAAAATAGGTGACTTCATCATTTAATGCATTCTTATTTATGTGTTTCATTTCAATTGTAATTGATCGAGTTGTTATTTTTTAAGTTAATGGAGTTTGTCAATATATTGAGATTTTTTTCTTTGATAATTATTTTTTTAAGATGAATTATTGTATATAGTGTGTTCATCATATTTATTCTCTAGTGTTGTTTTTTATTGTCATACAGCTATTAAAGAACTTATATTTGATGAAATTTGAAATTGTTACAAAACTATTTTGTGATGAAATTATGGACTCCAATATTACTTTCATTTGTATATAAACCACTTAAATGAGGTTTGGAAGTCACTTAAATCAATAATCACAAGTTAAACTATTTATTCTACCTTAAATCACTTAAGTATGTGTCACTTTATGTCATTATAGTGCTTGAAACTCCTAAAAACTGCTTAAATGGCTTTTATAGTCATTTAAGCAAGAAATTGTTCATTTGAAGTGAATGACACTAAGAATATTTATATTCATGCTTAAGAGAATTTGGTTTCACTTAACTAAAAATTCTATGATAAATTCATTTTTCATCATAAAATATATGGTGAATTATAAAAAACTTGAGTTTGTGACAATGTAACGAAGTAGGTAGTGACCTATCATTTTAGTTGCAAAAGTGTCATTTAAGCAAGAAATTATTCATTTGAAGTGCATGACACTAGCTGAGTCAATAAGTATATTTCAGTCTTTAGGTATTATTTGCAACATTTAGTGAGATGAATACTATAATATAAACCAAAAATTTAAATAACAAGAATGTTCAAAGAAACCATTATAATAAACTACTTCAATAAATTTAAATGAAAAAAAATATAATTTATTAAATTAACCACAATAGTATTTCAATTTTCACTTCATATGATGATTAATATTATTTTATTCTTACAAATTAATTTTTAAAAATTTAAGATTATTAAATTAAAAAAAAATAAAAAAGCATAAATTAAATTTCAACTTACTAATTTAATTTAATATATAAATTTTTTTTTAATTAATTAAACTATAAGTATCATATTTTTAAAGTAAATCAATGAATAAATTAATTTTATAGAAAATAAAATAAAAAATTAATTTAGTAAATGTTATGTATAAAATTGGTTTAAAAATTCAATTTTATGAGATAGAAACAAGTATGGTTTTAAAAAAAAAAATTGACAAATAAAAATTCTTGGGAGAAAAAAAATAAAAAATAAAAATGGGAGAACTCGGTGACACATGCAAATATTGTAAACGGCTCGTACTCTTATTAATTAACTATTATGAAAAGTGTACTTCCCTCGTGCATACTCATAATTGGGGTACCCCACTTTAGGGGACAGTGTTTATCAATATGGCATTCCTGTCCTGTCCCTTTTGGGTCTCAGTCCCATTTGTTGCCCTCCAAAGTCCCACAGGAGAGGCAAAAGGCATGCAATTGCACCCTTTCAATCTGCCATATAAAATTCTCACTCACATACCCATAAATAAATGAATTTAATGAGGCAATGAACCACCACCACACCCTTTTTTTTTTTACTCCTCTCTCTCTCTCTCTCTCTCTTCCCAAGTCTGAACTCTTCTTCATGATGAGTGACTGCTGAGGTTTGAAGTCTTCAAGAAATGAAATCATTAAAATGAAGACCAATCCACGGATTTGAAAGTCTCTTGGTCTTTCTGAAAAGCAGCCTTGAACTACGCCCTTTCCCTCCTCACCTTATCATGACTATTAGCCATACCTACCTAACTCTAATTAATCACCTATTTAATTTTTGCACCAACATTTGAAACTTTCAATCAATTAGGTGAACTTTTTCAATTTTGTTCTACTTCTGTGTAAAGTAAATTAATTCTATTACCAATATTTTATTTTATTTTGGAGAATGGAAATTATGATAAGAGTATACACATAAAAATATATGTTTTTTATGCATTACTTGAAATAGATAGAGAGAGAGAGGTATATTCTTAGTTCAAAATCCAGTATCATTTCCCTTTCTCTTTGATTGATATCTATCTTCACTGTCTAAACTTTTCATTTCATCTCTTCTTTCTGATTTCACCATGGATAAAACCCGAGAAAGAAGGAATACATACAGATCCAAAACAAGAAAAACAAAACCAATTATCCAAATTCTACATGAACCCCATCCCACCAAAAAAAAAAAAAAAACTATCAGCCTCTCGGAACTAGTTAACTTCCTTATATATACAAAAATCAAATCCATTTCCAAGCCTCGACTCAATAATACTAGTCTTGAAATGAATATCTTCAAGATGCTGGGGATTGGTGTTGATGGGGTTGCTGGCTAGCGTGAACAAATGGATGAAACCTGGGTTTACCAAAGGGGAATCCAATGGCTTTGGAGGGTGAGTCATTGTTATTAGCACTGGTTTTGACACTGGCCATGGTTCCTGAATTTGCATTGATGGTGGCATTAGGAGCACTGAGAGAGGAGGAAGTGGATGTGGAATTTGTGGCCACACGCTCACAAGAAGGGCACATGGTCAAAGTTGTGGCTGGTAATTGCATGTAGAATGGGTTTGAAGTCTTCAAAGCCCTCAATTCTTGAAGCTCCTTGTGAAGCCTCCTATTCTCTTCCGTTAGTGTCTCACAACATCTCTTCAAGTACTCACAATCCACTTCCGTTTGCTTCAACTTGGTCCTGCATGCACGCACATACACATATGACATTTTCATCCAAAACTCAACGATACAACAAAAGTGAAATCGATCAAGTGTACGACACTCTATTTTTGAATTCTAAGATTATGATTATAGTGTAAGAGAAATAAATTTGGTATTAAAATCTGCAAATATCAAAAACAGTGGACTAGAATATGTATATGTATCTATGTACGATTTCGTACCTTGCCCTTCGGTTTTGGAACCACACTTCTACTTGGCGAGGTCGAAGATTGAGTTGTTTAGCAAGAGCAAGCTTTTGTTTCTGCATCACAAAATTACGTGTCCAACACTATTACTATTATTAAACACCAAAACAAAACCAATAAAAGACAAAAAATTATTATAAATTATCATATAGTTTTATATCTAATCAACTTTCGTATAAATGTTACTAAAAAAACAAAAAAACTCAGTCACAATATCACAGAAAAATGAATCAAAAGCTACGATTGAATCTCAACAATTTCAATCACTCACAGGATTAAGAGTGTTATGCTCTTTGAAACTCTCTTCAAGGAACGCAGATTGTTCCTTGGAGAGTCGGAGTTTCTTTCTGGCGTTGCCGCCGCTACCGTTGTTATCATCTTCATCACTGGCTCTTGAAGAGGCCCTTTGATCATAAGCTTCACCCTCATAGTCCCTTTTATAGAAATTCCCTCCTCTGTTGTTGTATATGCAGAGATCCATTTGAAACGATGAGCCTGCGCTGTTCGGAGATGATGACAGCGCCGCCCCTTCCTCCGCCTCGTCCTCTGCCGCCAGCGGCTGCGCGTTCACATCCAAGCCCCTCGAAGAACCTCCCAACTCAGATGATAAACTCCCTGCACGTGTCCACACGAGACCCATATATGATGCTATCAAAGAATCTCAAATAATACCAAATAATAGGACAAAAACTTATATTCAGTGGTGGAGCTGTTTATCTTTCCTTTCATTCAAATTGAAGTTTATAGATTTATTTAGATAATCTGAATAATCATTTAACGTAAATCCTTATCAAATATTGCTGAAACAAAAAAACTAGAAAAACTGTACGAATAAGTGTATAACACTGTATTTTAGTATTCTTTTTTCATAGAATGAGCAGAAAGGATTGGAATCTCTTGGATACGTTGTTTTTTATGGAAAGAGGAAAGCCTTCTAAAAATTGGGTCTAAGAGTTTGGAAAAGAAGAAAAAACTGAGGGAAAACTTTTTGGGGGGTAAAAGTGGATGTTTACCGTTTTCTGAAGGAGGGTGCCAAGGGAGAGAGAGTTGAGGGAGAAGATCAAGTTGATGCAGAACTGGGTTGTTGTTGTTGTTGGGTTTGAAAGGATCTTCTGTTGCGTGAGTGTTGATGTTATTGCTGTTGTTCTTTGGCTTTGTCTCTTCTTGAAATTCTTCTTGTTCATCTTGTTGATCCTTCGGTCTAGTGATGGCTGGACCAATTGATAACGTGGTGTTGAAGCCTGACCCCAGTTGGTTGGAGGCTTCTCGAGGCTTTTCCATGAATCCAAGCAAAGGCCTTGAAGAGTCTCCTAAGCTCAAACCAAGTTCCATGATCTCCTTCTCTGCATAGGCCAGGTGAAGAGAGAGAGATGAGGAGAGAGGAACGTGGAATTCAAGTGGGGAAAGGTGTGGTTTGGACTGAGAATTAAGGAGGAGGAGCTTTGAAAGAGAAGAGTCTTTATAATTATAGAGAGAGAGAGAGAGAGAGCGCTACGTGATCATAGGATGGATGACCCAAATGGTCACCTTTTTAAAAAGAATTAAAGAAATGTATTTATATTTAGTGGGTATTCTCTCTTTTTCTTTAGTTATAAGTTTTTCACAATTTAAAAGTTGAAAATTGAAAACCTTGTGCAACGAAAAGGGTGTTTGACCGACAAAGGTTACCAAGGTTGACAAACACACGTGAAACCCTATTTTTAAGATGTAGATACTCGTATGCTACTACTAGGTAATAGACTACCAGTAGATGTGGGTGGTGTAGAGTTAGTAGATTTTGTGAGGGTATGAATCGACAACATTATTCCTCGAAAGAATTATGCTTGGCTTGTGAGCATCATGTAGGTTAGGTCTGAGCATGGTTGTTGGCATTCATTCACACAGTTGGGGCTATGCCATTATGTTTTCATGAGGTTGGGATTTGGGACTGGTTTAATTTTCTTTTTTGTCTCAAAAGTTGTGTGGGTACACATGAGTGTGCATCAATAATATTCACTCATCAATCATCACCATCATGCATTTGCCATGACTTTAGAGGGATTCTTCTCATTAAGGCTAGGCTACCCACCACCCCCACCTGCTCCTCTTGGGAGAGCCCACAATGTCTGCAAATTTTGCAAAGACTGAAGTGAAGTGACCACCATAACGATATGCTCGGAAACGGATCAACCCATGTGGCTCTTGGAGGAAAAATTTTCCCGGAAAATGAGAGAGAAAATGACATTTTAACGATCCATGTTGTGTTGATGAGGACATGATTTGCATTTCTTACACCTCCTTCTAACTACGAGGGATAAACACAGCAGGAATTCCAAATGCTGTGTAATCTTTTCATCCATAACATAGATTCAATTTTATTGATAACAAAATTACCAATATCATATATTTTCATTGACTAAAAATAATGTGACTCAGATTTATTATTAAAAATGATAAAATGGATTTATTTGTCGGATGTCTAAATTGTAAAAATAAGACAAAATAGATAGAAATGTCATAATTTGAATGAGTCATAAATATTAATTTATCCTGTTAAAAGATGAATTATCAATAAGTCAATTGTTAATAATTTTGTATATATAAAATATTTATATATATTTTTTAAAAATAAATAATTTTTAAGTTTTTATTTATTAATTAATATTTTTATTAAATAAATTAAAAAATATATTATATTTATATATTAAAAAAATAATTATAATCAATAATTTAAATTTAATTAATTATTTTTTATAATTTAAATTATAATATATTTTAATAATATAAAAATATATAATATTTTAGTTATACTTTTTTTTTAATAATAAATAATTTTTAAAGCAAAACAATAACTAATTTATATTACCTTAATCTGATGGATTAGATTGAACCTTATCAAAATAATGAACAAACTAAATCTATCAAGTTAGTTTTTCATTTTTTGTAGACGGTAGGATCTAACCATTTTTCCATCTAGTTATTTATTGAATAAGAAAAATATTTTTATGTAAATTCGAGTAAGAATGTGTTAAAAAACACTTCTAACTAGATTTACACTTGATAAACTCAAATTTGAATATCATTTTATAAGTTATTACAAACTTAAAAAGTAGCCCTATTATTAATTTTTTTTACATGTACATCATCATAATGATTTTATCTTAAAATAACAAAACATTAAAACCATTGGGTCCAGAGGAGTCTTGATCTGGGCTAAAACGGAGTATGATTAACGAGTGTCATCTCACACTCTTTCGAGGTTTTTAGTAATGATAGTTTTACTTTATTTGCACCAGTTTTACATTTTTAATTATATATATTTCGTTTATAAAAAATATAAATTGAAAATAAATAAGTGTGATAAAACCAATGATTTAATAGAAGAGAATGAGAGTGTAACGTCATAAGTTAGGGGTGGCCACCAAACACAACCTATATATTAGAGCTTTAATTATATACTACTTTCTATTAATAAATAAATATTCATGTGCATTTATTTTTTTAATAAAACGTGAAACATTAAATTTAGAAGTTAAGGAAGATATAATAAGATTTGTTTTACCGTGGGTTGAAGGGGGAACAATGTGTGTTGATGAGTGTGTCGGAGAGAATATTAGGGAAATGGTATTATTATGATATCTGATTCTGCTATGCATTATTATCTGAAAGGAGTGAGTGAATGTCTATTCTTTCAATGAGTGCAGGGGTAATTGGCCCTTTCACACTGAGACTACTCATCCTTCAACCTGCACCAGTCCTACATAATGATGCATTCTATGTGTGCCGTATGCCATGTTTTATGGGGAACAAAAAGAAAAAAAAAAACATTGTCCCATGTTCTTAGAGAATGTTTATGTAGCTTCTTTAACCTTCTTTCTTCACCACAAACCTAATTTCACTATCCTACCTAGTACTTATCTTTTGTTACAGCAAAATGAAATCATTGATTTTTTTTAACTAAATTTATAGTTTGATTTTGATTTTATTAATAATTTATGATCAAATTATAAAGTATTTTTCTTTTACATGATGAATGCATTAATTGTTTTCTCTTCAATTTTCATGTATTGTTACATGATCAACTAATCAATTACTGCTCTATATTCTGTAATAATAATATAAAAAAGGAACTACTATTGATATATAATTATTAAATATTGATTCAAATTACTTGGTGATTTTACTTTTCCAGAGGTAAGAGCATGATATATATATAGAGTTGCAGATATTCTGGTGAATTTTCTTATCCTTATCTTGAGACATTTCACTTTCTGGAATGACCTTCTATTCATTGAACACCAATAAATCCTTCTGAATGACTTCCATAGATTTCTCTTTGTTTCCCCTTTTTCATTTCTTAAAAGTTTAAGAATGCATTGTATTTATTGTAAATAAAAAAATAAAATGACTTTAGATGGTGAGAAAAAAATTAATAAATTTAATTTATAAGCACAGTTTATACTGATATGTTTTTTTTTATAATTTTCGTAAAAGAAACAATATTAATAAAATATGAGTAAAATAAGTAATAAATTACTATTATTCTCAATATAAAATATTAAGATATTGAATTATAAATTATATTTTTTTTATTATTCAATTTTCTTATTCTTAACTATTTAAACTCAAATTTAGATTTTTTAAGAAAATATTCTTAAAAAAAATGATTTTTATACAAATAAATAATTAAAAGTAAAGATGTAAAATTACAGTAAAGAAAAAAAGTAAAAAATGAAATGAGTATGGATTGATGAAGAATATTTAGGATGTGGAACAATATCCAAAAAAATTATTCTGAGCATGCCATAAAATCCACTATTGATTGGAATAATTGCAGAGAATTGAAATGATGGTACGTTTTTGTTTGAATGAATAGTATTTATGGGTGTTGCCATATTAAAATGGAAACATGATGAGTTGCATCTAAAACTGCCTACCAACTACCAAATGCAAGAAAAATAATATCACAAATCAAAGTATTCTTAGGCTTCAATATCAAGTGTCCCACACTTCAATTCTTTGCACAAACAACTTCATCATATTCAATTATTTATACAACACTTGCTTCCTCCGACACATATCATGCTCATGTCTTCAATCAATATTGACCAAAAAGACATTCATGGAAGATAATAATCATGAATCATGATCATAACATCATCTATTCATACCCCACCCAAACCTAGCTTTGTTAATCATCACCACAAGAAATTGTACGAAACAAAACCCCTATTTTTAATTCATCTACCTTAACAACTCTGTTAACAATGTTTTACCACATTTTTGTGAAAAAAAAAATTCTATTTCTTTTTTGGTTTTAAGGTTCATTTGTTGAACAAAACATCTTTAAAAAAAGAATAAAAGCATCTAATATTTAATAAAAGGAAATGTCGCAAAACTCTTTTTTGGGGGGACAAAGATAAAAACTTATTCTTTTCGAAAAGGGAAAATTATTATGAACCACAAATTTCTCATAATCAGTGTTTAGAGTTGCTGGGAGTGATGGAGAAGAACTTAACCTATGCCATTTAATTAAAGTAGCTGTGATTCCGTTCTTGATTCTTGAAAACGTAAAAAACTCAAACCAAATAAATCTTTGAAGGAGAGTAATTCGTGTATTCCAAAGGAAATGTTTTTATACATTTAAGATTTGAATTCCACAGTACTATCATTAAGTTAAAATAAATTCGTGTAAGATTATTTACACAGTTATTTGATTTTTAAATACTCGTTATATTAATGTGAATAGTGAAGATTTTAAAATTATATATATATATATATATATAATAATTATTATTATCATAATTACGTTAAACTATACTAAATTTTATAAATAAATAAAAGAATATAAAAGAGGAACAATATATATAGTCATAAGTCACTATATACAATTATTAATTTTTATAATAACTATTTTAAAATATATATTTATAATAATTTGATTGCTTAACAATGTAAAAATAGTTGGTAACATAATTATTAAACTTTTATTATATAATTTAGTATGTGTGTATAAAATATGCTAATATTTCTTATTTTTTTTAGATGGAATAATGATTGGATATTTGTTATTTTGTTTACTATTTCAATAAATAAAATATATTTATGTGTTTGTTGAATTTACTTATTTTATAAATATAAATTATGTTTTTTTTAAGAAACAAATTCTAATTACTTTTTAAATAATTGTTTTTTAATAAATTGTTTATTAATAGATTGTTTATTTCCAAAACTTAATCTCAACGGCCCTAATGAGTACTTTCAAAGTCACTTTCGGTTGCAAGACAATTCTGACTTTAAAACTAAGTCAATTCTAAATATATTATAAAAATCTAAATGTTATTTAATACACCCTATGTTTTACAATATTATGTTTTGGTGAAAAATAAAATTTATTTTTTAATATATATTATTTTTAAAATTTAAGATTGTATTAATTATTTTTTTTATCAACTATATCTTTGGTTTTTTAATTATATGTATAGTAGAAAAAATAATAAGTTATTAGGAGTGATTTTGGATAAAGGAAATATTAAAATAATAAATGAATTAATGAAAAAACTAATAAATTTATTAAAAGTAATAAAAATAGTATTTATATTAATTTATTAAAAATATCATATATTGTAAATAAGAGGGAGTTCTAATTTAATTTTGACTTCTACGAAACAATATCTTTTAAATAGTATAATAATATTAGTAAAAGGAGTCAAAAAAGAGTACCAAATAAGAGGTAATATAAATTGTTCTTATATCATTCAACCGTCAAATACTATAAAGACATAGTAATAGTTAAAGTTAGTTAGAATAATTAATTTAATTGAATAATCTAAAATAATATAATTATTGAATAATTATCTAACACAACCCTTTAATTTATTAATCGACTTAATATTTAGATTTTTTTTCTTAACTCTTAAAACTTTGGATTATTTAAAGATTTAGTCATAATAACGGTTAGGTGCTCCTTTGTGTCATAATACTTAAGTTTTAGTTTCTTTTTCGTCACTTTATCTTTGATAAAATGAAATCCTAGTCCAAAATGCTTACTTCACACCATGAATATGATTTTTAGCTAAATTGATGGTGACTTATTATCAATTTTTAGTGTCATTGTCTTCTCTGATCTTCTAATGACCCGATTCACCAAATTCTCGATCTACAGTGTTTGACAAGTTGTATAAATAGTCATGTATTTAACTTCATAAGAGGAGAGAGAGTTCTACAACAGGTTGTAACTTCGAGCACCATGAAATCAATAACTTTTTCAATAGGAA